GTAGCTGAGATAGAGCTCCTCGAGCCGCGGGGCTGCCCCCTCCTTGCCGAGGGCGGCGGCCAGCTCCTTGCAGCCATCGACGCCAATTTGGTTGTAGCCGAGATAAAGCTCCATGAGATCCGGCGCTGCCCCGCTCGTGAGAGACCTCCGCCACGTGAGCCGCATCCGCGTCGCCCCAGCTGAGGCGGACGTAGCGCAGACCGGTGGCGTTGGCAACGTCGGCGGTGGAGAGGGTGAGGACGCACTTGCAGTCGCGGCACATTGAGGGTCTGGAGCTGCGAGGCGACCTCGATGCCGGCCCTCGCCAGCGCGTCGGCGCGCGAGCCGAGGCCCGGCAGCCTGTGCGCCGCTGTCTGCCGCAGCAACGCCTGCGCCTCCTCGTCGCTGCGGACTGCATACACGCGCCCGCTGGCGCCAGAGCCGCCGCCGGAGGCCTTGGCGGCGGAGGAGGCGAGCTTGGCGAGCAGCTTGTTGGGCGCGACGCCGCAGCAGACCGGCAAGCCGAGCCTCTCCCGCACGGATCGCACCAGCTCCTCCGCGACGCTCTCCGGCCCGTGCCTCTCCTCGACTGAGACGTACCCCTCGTCGATCGAGGCGCGCTCGAGGGTCGAGCCGCACGCCGCGCCGGCGTCGAGGCTCGCCCGGATGCAGGCGAAGAGGTCGCGGGAGGCGTCCTGATACGGCTTGTACCACGTGCGCGGACCCGGCCAGTCCCGCCAGAAGGCGTGCACCAGCCGGCCGCCCGCCGGCGTGAGGACTGCGCGGGCAGCCTCCGGGCTCATGTGCTTGCGCACGCCGAGTGCGCGCGCGGATGCGGAGACACAAATGACGTCGTTGTACTGGAAGAGCGCAATCGGAGGTGTGCCTGGACCCTCGCGAACAGACCGGTCAAATTGGGCGTGGACCGCGAGGAAGAAGCGGTCGACATCGATGTGGATCACCGCCATGGCGTGCTGATGCTCACTCACTGGGCTGCGTGGAGCGCAACGAAAAATAAGGACGCAAGGGTTTTGCTGGCTAGCCTGACCTGCGGCGACCGGCGGCGAGAACGCGTTTCGCGAAAAAAAAAAGGGCGGTGAGTGCGGCGTTGTGCGGGATGTGAGAGAGAGAGAGAGAGAGAGAGAAGAGAGAGAGAGAGAGAGAGAGAGAGGTGCGGGACCGCGGCGCAGCCAGTGCCGCGGCGAGGCCTCCGGCTGTTTGCGGCGGGCGGCTTGCTGCTCGCTGCGATGGCGAAAAACTCGTCTCGCCACACGCCAAGGGCTTATGCTCTGGCGAGACGTGAGGCGCATGCGCCCAGGAGGGGAGGGGGCATGTGTAACGACACTGCTAGAGATGCCTTTCGGGGCCCAGAGATAAAACTTCTGTGATGCCATGCGTGACCTAGTAGTGTCCCCAGCTATGGGCGTGTCCACGTTGGAGCCAGGTGTGGTGTGGGCGCGAGAATAGCTCCGCCGTTCATGGAGGCAACCGATGCGAGTCGACTGGTGTGTGTCGTCGTGGTTTCGTATCAAGAATTCTCTCTCTCTCTCGTGCGGGATGTCTGTGGGCCCGAGAGCGATATGCCATGTTTCATAACATCAGGCCTGCATGCACGGCTGTGGCAGGCTATCGTGTCGACGAGCGACGGATTTGGCTTCGTGAGACATCTCGTGCAACACTTCTGGGAGACCGAAGAGTTGCCCGAGGGGTGGGACGAAGAACGATTTTGTCCTTGCCGGTTCCTCCCGTCGCCTCTTCTTTGTTCGAATGTTTTTCAATCCATCCTTCACGAAGCCCTCCCATGTAGCTTGAGCACTTGAGCACTGGATAGGGCCGATTCCGCGTGGTACGCGTACGGGACCCCTCGATCGTCTCGCCCTCCCTCACTGGTATGTTCATTGGGGGGGGTCATAACAAACACGGTACAGGATCGAGGTGCACGCTGCCGAAGCAGTGTCGTCCCCTCTCTCCCCAACGGCGATGGCGGTGTGACCGATCGAGCTACAAGAGGAGCTTGTTCAGCAGGATCCGGGTTAGGCTGGCGCACTACCTCACTGGGCCTGAGATCGCAGCGCCGCTTCCCGTCACCGTCTCGGGTTTATGTGGGATCGAACCACTCCGGGATGGGCAAGCCCATGTAGCTAGCGTTCTTTGCGAATGTCTCGAAATGGCCAGCAGGCGCTGTCTGCTCGCGACCTGTGCGGGCCGCTCGTCCTCCTCGCCCTTCTTTCGTCCTCCCGTCCCTCCCCTCCACCATGGCCGCCTCGGTACTTCTTTCTAGCACGCGCCAGTTCGCACCTGTGTCGAGCCTGTGTGCTGTGCCCGAGGTGTTTTGTTTAACCTTTTCGTGTCGTGCCGTTCGCCCTCCATTCGGTGACTTCCATGGCTGTCCGAATCCTTTTGGGTGGCGCTCTCGATACCGTTGCGTCAACCTCGACGTCGCTGTCGCCCTCCCCGTCCCCGCCGTCGCCCGTGCCTCGGTTCGCGTCATTGGTAGCGTTTCCGTTGCCCCCTCGTGCTCCGCCGTCGTCGCCCTCTCTGCTCGGGCCGTTAGCGATTTCGCTCTTCCTGCGTGTCGCCCCTCCGTCTCCTCCCCTGCCTTCGTCGTCATCGTCGCTGTCGCGAAAGCCCTCCGGTCCCTCGATTCCCTCGTCTATCCCCTCCGCTGCGTCCTCCCAGTTTATATCCTCATCCTCTGTGCGCGTTGTCGTTCCCTCCCCTTCTCCATCGTTGTCGCCTCCGTCGACTGTGGCGCTGCCTCTTCCCTCGCCTCCGTCCTCCTCGTCTCGCCTGCCATCGTCCCGTGTCTCCTCGTCCTCGCCATCGCCTTGGCCGTTGTCTACCTGTTCATCGTGTCCCTTGCTGCTGGTGGCATCGCCGTTGGCTTCCTCTCTCCCCCTTTCCTCCCCGCCCCTCTCGCTGTCTGGTGTTAATGGACCCCCTTCCTCTCCCTCGCCACCGTCACCGTCTCCATCCCCGTCGCTCCCGCCCTCCATCCCCGCCGCCCTTTGTCTCACACTCGTCTCTGCCATGTCCGCCGTCGCCGCCGTCAAGTCTGCTGCGCTCTTTGCTCCGACGAGAGGACGCGCGCGTGAGCCTTTGAGCCGGTTTGAGCGACTCACGCCGACTGACCAGGTCCCCGTTTTGCCATTTAGCCATTTTTACGACGTCATGTCTAAAGATGCACACCGCGTACACCATGCGCGGGTGGGGGGTGCCCCTCTGGCTCTCTGCCTATGTTTTATGACTTTTAACATACTATGTACCCTGTTTCGCTCCCATCTCGGGTGCCTCTGTCTGAGCCTGTTTCTCCCATCTCCGCCACTCCGCGCACACGCACTCCGCCTCAACGCGCTCAGCGGAAAGCCTCCAGGCCAGCCGGCGCGATGTTCTCCGGCTTTAGCGCGAGCACGCCCCAGTCCGTCCGGACTGGCCAGCGCCCGCTCGCGGTCGGGAACATGTCGCGGATAGTGCCCGTCGTGCCGTTGAGGTGCGCGTGGGCAGCGCTCCTGACTCCAGAGATCAGGACCGTGGTGCCACCGAGCCAACGAGCCGGCCGGCGACTCGACCTAAGAAGGGAAACAGCGATGAGTCAAAGGAAGGCTTACTATCTCAGGACAAGGTCTGGCCGGCGGGCTCGACATGTAGAGCGCGTCCGAGAGCTGGCTAGCCGCCTGCATCGACCCATGGCCGGGGGAGCAATACCACAGCGCCCGGTCGTCGCGCCGCAGCGCTTGCGGCATGATGCGGTCCCGCCACGCGTCGAGCAGCGCGACGGCGGAGAAGTGCGGCGCACGAGCGACGCACGCCGGGTCCAGCGCCGCCACCGCGGGCCGGTGCTGTTGCAGCGCGTCGCGCACGCTCAGCTTGCCGCGGGCGATCGCGTCGGTCAGCGCGTCCACCTCCGCCTATCCACACGCTGCACTGTGAAGAGGCGCTGTTCACAGCAAGAGCCCGCCAGGGTACCACCTCATGCGCGCGCAGCACGCCCAGCTCGACGGCGCGCTCGCCTAGCGGAGCGTTCCGAGAAGGCTCACTCGACAGCTCGCAGCACGCCCCGGCTCGGGTCGACAGCACGCTCGCCAATGATCGCATCGAATGCGCGCTCCTCGGCGAGCGCCTCGAGGGCGCGGGCTGCCAAGTGGCCGAGCCAGGCGAGGTCGCAGGCGCGGGCTCGCATCTGGGGCGGGAAGAGGGCGTGCGACCTGTCCCCGAGGAGGAGGGCCGTGGAAGAGGCGCCGTTCACACCCACAGCCGGCGGGAAGAGGCAAGTGCGACCTCGGCGACCACTCGCACGCCTAGCGCGGGCGGTTGCTGTGGAGCGACGCTGTTCACACGTTGTGCTGTGGACAGGCCACCGCTCTCGCGCCTCGACGAGCAGCGCCGCGGCCGCGGTGACGTGCGCCTCCTCCACCCGCCCCTCGACCGCGCTGCGCCTGCCCGGCTCCGACCAGCTGTCGGCTTGCGACGGCCACAGCGCGCCGACGCGCTTGCCCGCAAGCCACGCGCGCGCGTCGGCCATCGGCGTCGCGTGGCAGTCGCGGCGCGCGTCCCTCCAGCGCCGCGGGAGCTCGAGGGTGGCAAACACGTCTGCGCCTGTGGAAGGGGTCCGAGGAGGTGCGGGGAGGGCTCCTGGCACTCGCACTCGCCGGCCACGTCTCCGCGCCGTCGCGCAGCAGGGCGCGGGTGCGGGCGAGTGGCGCCACAAGCCGGAAGTGCAGCGGCGAGACCCAGTCAGACGTGTCGAGCATGAAGTCGCGCATGCCACAGTCGACCAACTCGGCCACAGAGGCGAGCTGGTCGACCTCGATCGTCTCGAGTTCGCCACCGGACAGCGCCTGTTGTACATGTTGTGTTGTGCATGTGCATGTGCAGTGTGCATGTGCATGTGCATGCACATGTGCATGCACGTGTATGTGCATGTGCATGTGCATGTGCATGTTGTGCGCGCGTGTCCCGCACCTCCGGGACTCTGTGAGCCGTGTGGCGCCGGGCGCCATAGCACTCGAGGAGCAGCGCGCACTTCTCCAGGCCGGTGGAGCAGGCGCTGGACAGCGCCGTGTGGCCGCTCGCCGCGGAGGCGGTGTCGGGGTTGGCCCTCGCCTCGAGGAGGAGCGCGAGGACCTACACACCACCACCGACACACGGTCAAAGAACGTAGAGAGCCCGATCCGCCTCACCTCGAGGGCGAGGGCCTGGTGGCCCTTCTCATCGGCCGCGGCGCCTCCTCCTTCGGCGTGCACGGGCGCCGCAACAGCGTGCATCACCGCGCATGTGGTGTTGCCGGCCGGCTGAGGGTCGATGCAGTGGTCGAGGTCGGCACGCGCCTCGATGAGCACGCGCACACAGCCGACATGGCTGTCCTGCACGGCCAGCAGCAGCGGCGTCCAGCCGCCCGCCTTGACCTGGTTCGGGTCCGCGCCCGCGGCGACGAGCGCTCTCGCGCAGCTCTCGTGCCCTTCCTTGCAGGCGATGTACAGAGGGTGGGCTCCGTTTTGCCGAGAGTACGCGACGTCTGCGCCATGCTTCAGCATCTGCTCGAGCAGCCCGAGCCAGCCGGCCAGGGCAGCTTCGTAGAGCGCCTCGCTGACGGAGAGCGGCGAGATGGCCTTCTCGACGTCGGCCTTCAGGCTGTCGGAGGCGAGTCCCAGCAACTGGGCGATCGCTGTCCGCTGTTCGTGGACCACTTGCTGGGATCTCCCACCGTTGGCCGCTTGCGGGGATCTCCCGGAGACCAGGTGCTCATTCAACGCGTTTGCAGTGGTGATCAGGTTGCTGAGTATCGTGTCTCCGTTGCTCAGAGTGGTGTCCGCACCGCTCGCGACCAGAAGAGCCGCGACTTCCGACTGAGCGCCCTGGCACGCCTGCAACAGCGCGTTCCCTACGCCGTTCGGCCCGCACGGCAAGTTGACAGCCGCGATCGATCAGCAGGCGAACAATCTCAATAGCGCCGTCCTGCGCTGCGAAACCAAGCGCATGGCAGGCATAGTCGGTCATATTGGTGTCTGGGCTGATGCCGCTGTCGAGGCAGACCCGTGCGGCGGCGACGTCCTGCGCCAAGATCGCCTTTTGCAGCCCCGCTCTGTTGATGAAGCGCGATCTGGGTGTGGCGCCCGCGGCGCCCGCTCTGTTTGACCTCTGCTTACCATGGTGGCCGCACCGCTTTCAAAGAATTTGTGCGCGCGGCGCCCAACACAATGCCCTGGATGCATTGCTCCACGCCGTGCTGGCTGGTGCAGTACTGCCAATGCGCCGACTGGCGCGCAGGGTGCGCGTCGCCGCGCGTGGCACGGGTGGCTCGAGAGGCGCGGCTGTCGTTCAACCCCGCGGCGCATGTGCGCCGCGGAAGCTGCTCGACAGGCTGAGAGAGAGAGAGACAGGCTGCGGGCATCGCTGCGGCAGAAAGCGCCCGCCCTCTGCTTTGCTTTCGCCCGCGTTTTACGACAACTTTCGGTTTATCATAGCCGCCGAACTTTACCCCGCTGTTTCTTTATAGGCGTCTCGCAGCTGCGTATTCTCGTATTATCTTCGAGTAGTTGCGAGAGAGATTTTTAGAAGCTAACAAGACCTTCTTCTTCTAGTTGCGTGGGGGCGGTATGTATTCTCGTATCAGTAGTTAGTGTCGTGTCCACTAGCTCCGAGTAGAGGGTGCGTTCTGCAGTTAAGGGGAAACCCGGTACACGGAACCATCCCTCGGAGACCCGTGTTATGGCCCTGCGAACGCGCACCCCCGGGGCTAGGGCTCTCTTGCCCGCAACCCGATGCCGATCATCCGGCCCGCTGGGTGTGCTTCTTAGCTCCCCGGCCCTGGATGTGATATGTGCTATGTGTGGGGTCGGGCTCGCTCGGTCGGGCCTCGACGAAGAAGTCTCCTTGGATCTTGGCTGCGTGACTAGTTTTCATAGTGAAAACCGGCGATTTCGGAGCGCCCGTGGCGGTTCGCGAGAAGGAGGGAGAGCGTTTGAGGGGGCTCACACGGCAAGGACACCGACCGAGGGGGGGGTCGGTCGTCACATCTCCCGCCGCCGAGAGAGCGAGCGACCGGAGGGGGGGTCCGGTCCACCTCGGGGGCAGACCACCGACCGGCGGGGGGGTCCCCACGAACTAGGGGGGGTTGGTACAAAATGACGCTCCTGAGAAAAAAATTAATTTGCAAAAGTCAATTGCGGCCGTCCCCGAGCAGTCGCGTCGGAAATCACTTCGGCATGGGCGCCTGCTGTTCCGCCGAGGGAGCGGCAGAGGAACAGCCCACTGAGGCTTACGGTCGCGCCTTCGATGGCAAAATAAAAGCCAGTGGTGACGAGTCAGCGACCCTCATTCAAAGCGCTCTGCGGGGTTCGTCCTGCGCTCGATATCCTTCCCTACCCTCTCCTTCCGATTCCTGAGGAACTCCCCTCGTGCAGGATTTATGGCAAGAGAAGGCGCTGACGGTGCGGACGCCGCGACGCTCGTTCAAAGCGCGCTGCGAGGTCTGCTCACCTGCCAGCCGTCTCCTTGCAGCCCTCCCCCTCACTCCCACCCTTTCCTCCCACCTCTCCGACGCACACGCAGGCTACATGGCAAGAGATGGTGGAGAAGGTGCAGACGCCGCAACCCTCATTCAAAGCGCGCTGCGAGGTCTGCTCACCTGCCAGCCGTCTCCTTGCAGCCCTCCCCCTCACTCCCACCCTTTCCTCCCACCTCTCCGACGCACACGCAGGCTACATGGCAAGAGATGGTGGAGAAGGTGCAGACGCCGCAACCCTCATTCAAAGCGCGCTGCGAGGTCTGCCTTACACAAATAGCCCATTGCATCACAATCCCCTCTCACTTGGTGTTTGCGAAAACGCAGGCTACATGACGCGAGAATACGCGTAGACGGACGAGCATATCGGCCCGGACGCCTCTGTGTGTGCACGCATGCAAAATGACGGGAGAGAGAGACACTGCTAAAGCAGCGACGGCAACTGCCTTCAAGGGCGCTCACACGCGCGTCACAGAGTGCAAAGCTTCTTTTTTCGCTTCCAAAAGTCGAGTTGCATCGCGCATCGCATGAGCACACGAGCACCGTCTTCGGGGACTTCCTCACCTCTTCACTCAGGGCAGTCGTGTGCGCAGTCCACCACCGCAGAATATAAGTCGGCAAGCGCAGCGGGCCACACCCCGCCGTGGATGTGTGCCGGCGCGGGGTGCGTGATCTGACATCGGCGCAAAAATCCTCGAAACGGGTTCGGACACATCTCGGGGGATACGCATACGGGCGGCCATCCAGGCGCGCAGCTGTGACCGAGCGCCACGTGCCCCATTTGCACCCCATTTCCCCGCCTGTACGAGTAGATCAGTCTGCAAAGCGTCCTCCCTTCCCCCAACGCCCCCACGCCTTTGGGCCAGCGGCGGAATGAATGTCCTTCTATTCCCACTTGGACCGATCGAAGGCCCACCCTTCGTCAAGCCTTTTCTGGATTTTGTTGCGAAGCGTGACTGGCATGCCACTTGCAAGCTCCTTCACGCTGAGCATGCCATTAACATCTGCATCGCAATCTGCGAATGTCCTCTAGCGGATTGCCCTACACTTTTGGGAAGACATCGAGAATCGGAATGCGCGCAATGCTTGCACTTGAACTCCTCCTTGGTCAGCCCGTCGCCGTGTTGACGTCAAACTTCATCAGTGCTGCCAAAACGGGATCTTCCACCACCTCCAAGCTTCCTTTCGGTCTCTGCGTTTCTTCAGAATGGCCGCTGCCGTTGCACGAGTAACCGCACGCGCCCATGTGTGTGTGCGCGGGGGACACGGCCGCACGGCAGCTACAAAGCCAGCTTGGAACTCGTACGTCCTACAACTCGAATGACTTGAGCACTCAGTTGGGAGAGCGTTAGACTGAACATCTAGAGAGACACCACTGAAGGGCTTTCCCTGCGAACGCGCACCCCCGGGGCTAGGGCTCTCTAGCCCGTAACCCGATCGATACCGATCATCCGGCCCGCTGTGGGTGCGCTTCTAGCTCCCCGGTCCTGGATGCGAGGTTGATAACTGCACTCCAAGTGCTCCAAGAAAGAGCTGTGAAAGCGAAAGTAGCGAAAATTTTCAGTTATGTAGCTCTTACGTACATTCCCGGAGGAGGACTGCTGACGGGGTTTGCGATGAGGATCTGAAGTGTAACCGCCGATCCATGGCGCGCGTAGCTATGACAGGGACCGCGGCCGCGGACCCGGTGGCGGACGGGGCTGGCGCGCAAGCGCCGGCCACCGTCGTACTGCCGGGGATGCGCAGCGGACCCTGGAATCGCTCCGATCGCGCGCAACTGGAGGACGCGGTGGGTGTCGCACGGTTGTTCGGTGCGTCGTGTGTCAGGCTGATAAGGCCTGGCTACGCGACCATCGAGGTCGACCTGAAGCACGAGAAGGCCGCGGGCGACCGCGAGTCGGTGAAGGTGGCGGAGCGCTCGTACATCGAGCGCACCGCGCCGAAGAAGAAGGAGCTCACTGATGAGCAGCTTGCGGCTCGAACCGCGTCACGCAAGGCCAAGAAGATCCGGCAGAAGGAGCGCCGGGCGAAGGAGGCTGGCGAGCGCGCCGCGAACGAGGCCGAGAACGCGGAGCGCCCGCGCGCGCAGCTGCGCGAGAACATCGAGTACGTGATGGCCGGGCTGCGGTCTGCAGCTGCGCAGGCGCGCAGCCAGGCCGGGTCCAATATAGGAGTCGAATACTCGCTGCCCCCGGAGAGGGACGACGGGTATCGACGCGGCCCCAGCAAGGTGTACGCCACAGTTCCCCAGGGGACCGTGGCGACGACGGTCGCCCCGGACTGGCTCGCGAACGAGCTGGCCGGGCGCGGCAAGATTGATGCGGCATGCCGCGACCGCATGGTCATGCACCTGATGACGGCCGCCGGCGCCTCGGCGCCGGCCGACGCCGTCTTCAGGTTCACGGCTGGCGAGGCAATGCAGACCGAGGACGACGACGAGGACGCCGACCGCTCCGAGGAGTATTCCGACGACGACGGGAGGGCGTCCGACTTGTAGCTGGCCTCACCCATATCTTACCCTCTGCCCCCCCCCTCCTGCTACCCCCCAGGCTAGATGGAGTAGTCACAGATAGCCCCACACAGCCCCTTACCCCGGGTACTACCCCTTCACCCTCGCCTCGCTGTGTTTCTGAACACGTAGACGACCACGCTGTGGGGGTTGTGTTATAGGAGTAGGAGTGGGGTGCAGGGGGTGCCGAATTACGGGGTGACGAGCGACGTGCGTCCTCGCGCCCCCGATGGTCGGCTACGAGGGTGGGAAGTACGCTGAGGGGGCGAAACGGGCAAAGGCGAAACTGCTCGGTACCTACCAGAAGGCCCTAAGCCTGTACTCAGACGGCATCTCGAAGGACCAGCTTGCCACGGTCCTGCGGAAGCAGCTTGCGCAGAACCCGACAAACGCGGACCTTGAGGCGGCAGCACAGTTGGCCGACAGTGGGGGAAAAATCAGTCTCGACGATCTTTGCTTCTTCCTCGTCGAGAATGCGAAGCCCATGCCCTCGCAGACCCAGCTTGCCAAGGCGTTCACGGTGCTTGACAAGGACGGCTCGGGCTACCTCGAGAAGGACGAGCTGAAGAAAATTGTCTCCACGGTGGGCGAAAAGTTCTCTTCCGATGAGCTTGCAGCGCTCGACGCCGTCCTTCTAAAGGTGGGCGGAGACAATGGCAAGATTGACTTCGCCGAGTTCAGCAACCTCGTCACCGGTGGCAAAGTGGGCAAGTGTCTGTGTCTGTATGCCAGCAACACGCCCGACCAGAAGGACTTTGTCAAGTGCCTTCGCGAGAACGTTGTTGCCGTCAAGTACGACTTTGCAAAAGCCACGGCCGAGAGCCTCACATCGGCCATCAACGCCAAGGCGTCCCTCCCCCCCCTCACGTATGAGCCCCACAGCCGAACTCCGCGCCCATGGTACTCCACGTGCACCAAACCGCAGGTGTCTCTGCACGGCAAGTTTGACTCCATCATGCTGGCCAACCACGGCCCAGGCGGGGGCGACGTTTGGTGGCGTGTCAGCGAGCTGGTCAAGCTCGAAAGCGCAGACGCCGCGTCGACCTTACTCGAGGAGACCAGCCCGTGCGGTCAAGTGATGCGGGCGCAGCCTCCGGCCTTGGCGCGGCAATCGCACCCTCTGCTCTCCGACACGCGCATCTCGTATAGGCGCTCGGAAGTGCGGTCGTCGACGGTGGCCGGGTGGACCTGCTTGCGTGCAGCTTCTACAAGGACGAGAAGGGCAAGCAGGCCCTGCGCTTTCGCCAGGGGCCCGGCTCTACCCACCCACCGGCCATCTCGGCACGTTGATACACACCGCAGGTGCTCGCCGCCATCGAGGAGATGACAAAGACAAACTTCGCGGCATCGTCCAACGTGACGGGCAATCCTGCTCTCGCCGACCGGGAGGGCCACGAAGGCGATTGGGTGCTCGAGAGCGACAAGGCGCGCGAGCCGCCACGTTTAGTCCGCTTGAGCGCCGCCGACAATCTCGCGAGACTCGTAGGTGGACATCAAGTCGGTCTACTTTGAGCCCGACCGGCTGATGAAGGAGTTCCAGGGGTGCTTCTTCTCGGTGACGCTCAAGACGCCAGATGGCTCGAGCACGATCGATTGCCCAGACGACACGTACATCCTCGACAAGGCCGAGGAGGACGGCATCGAACTCCCCTACTCGTGCCGCGCTGGCGCCTGCTCGTCGTGCGCGGGCAAGGTGATTGAGGGCACGATCGACCAGTCGGACGGCGCTTTCCTGGACGACGACCAGATGGGCCAGGGCTTCTGCCTCACCTGCGTCACCTACCCTACCTCGGACTGCACCATCGCGACCCACCAGGCCTGACCTCCACCTCCGCCTCCCCTTGGCCTTCACCGCCGCCCCCCCTCGCTGCTCACACCGCCCTTCCCCCCCTTCTCCATCCTCGCCCTCTCACCTTCCCTCCCCCCCTCCGCTGTTCTTCTCAGGAGGATGAGCTTTTTTGACCCCCCCCCCCCCTCTCCGCCCCGCCCTTGCGCCTTCCCCTCCTGATGGTTGCGCCGCCTCTCGCGGTCTCGCGCCGCGGGGGAAGGATGCCGGGGCGGGGTGCAACCTTGCGACCTTGCGCCGCGAATTCATGGCGCAGGCCTGAAATTCGCGCGTCTGGTTGTGTGCGTGCGAGAAGCACCTGTCGCCTGTGCGCCGTCGTTGTAAAGACTGCCGTTTGTTTTCTGCAAAGATTTGCCGCCCGCAGCGCGCAGGGCCCGGGGGAGACGGCCGGAGACCGCCCGCTTCCTCCGCACCACACCGCAGCCTCGCGGGCCCTCGCGCAGCGGCCGCCGCGAGGCACCCCCCAGTTTAAGTGTGGTTTTCTACTTAATGGCAAAGTTTCTCGTAAATTTCTCGTGCGTCCCATCGCCGAGAGTTCCAAATTGCTCGCGCGACACAGGCTCCTTGCGCCACCACGGCCACCAGACACAACGCGCGGTAGCAAGGATGAGAGTGTCCCACTGAAAGCACTCGGCAAGCTCTTCCGCCGTGTTGTACCAGCGGCAGAGGAGGCGGTGCAGGCGGCCGCCGTTACCCGCCGAGGAGGCCCTCATTGACGTCATCTCCAGCTGTCTAGCAGTGTGGAGGCGTTCGCAATGCTGCTGCGAACAAACGCAGCGGGCTCTGTTGTGCTTTCTAACGTGCGCATCCGCGGCTTAGAAACCGTGAGAGACGTGGCAAACCTGCGCTCAATTACAATCCGATTCCGTCCTTCCGGCAGGTCGCGGCTGCAATCTTCTTTTGGGCGTGGCGCTGATTTTGGTCCTCTGCGGTCGTGGTGGCGGCTGGCGCTGACTGGCCCAAAGCGGACCTCCTGTTTCCCCCAAGGGCGCGGCTTGAAACCGACTGGACCTCAGCTGCAAGGGGATGGACATGTTGCGGGTCGTCGATTGCAAAGCCCAAAGGCCGACACATCAAAGCCGCAAAAGCACCGGGTGGGCTAGCCGCAAACGACCGTTAGGGGTGAACACACAAACGGACGAGAGATGGAGATCTATTTAGATGGTGGGACCCATGAGCCATGTGTTCCCGCCCTGCACGATCTTGGTGTGCGGGATCTTCAATATCAATTCTCAGCCCTCGTCATAACCCCGCAATAGAGACCCCTGAAGAGCGGCAAAAGTTGGGGCCCTGCAACATTGCCTGTCCGTTTAACCCTCCAGCCGCACCGAAGCACCGTGAGCGTGCGAGCGCAGCCCCTTCCGTAATCTCCCCTTCGACCCCTTGTCGAGCTGGGCAAATAAGCTGTGGTTGAAGCTGCGCATGCGAAACCCTTGCTGCCTGGCAAAATGCGACGTGAAGAGCGAGTCGATCACATCCGACGCCGGGAAGAGGTGCCGCACGAGGTGAGGCGCCACGCGGCTCGAGACGGCAAAGGCGTGCGAGCAGTAGCCAGGCGCCAGCCCGCGGAGCAGCTCATTCTCCTCCCCTCTCTCGGCAGTGCTCGCCGCGGGCATGAGGCAGAGTCTCGAGGAGGGCCTCCGCCTGCCGCGCTCCTTCCTGACCTACTTTGAGGGTGCCTCGGGCCACGAGTGGGGAACTTGGCCGCGCGTAGACTTTCTCCGCCGCGCAAGGGCCGCCGCTCCCGCGAGCGAGGGCCAGTCCTGGTGGATGGCGCCGAGCTGCGCCGCTGGGCAGACAGAGCGCTGCCTCCTCCCCAAATTCCGCAGCTGCGCCACGGCCAATGGTTCTGTCCCTCGGCTGTGCAACGAGCTGTGCTACACCCTCTCGGTGCTCGCCGCGCTCGACGACTTTCTGCGTTCACCGCACGAGTTTGCTCTTCTTCTGGAGGACGACGTGAGGACCCGAGAGCCGAGAGACCCTTGCTAGACATACCCGGGCACCTCCTAGCCTGCGCCTTCCCGTCTGCTCGGCAAAAAGGCTTCGGCACTCCGCCGGCAAGCGTCCACGTGACCCCACCATTGCAATCAGGTGTGCCCGACGGCGGCGCTGCTGACTGGCGGGGAGCACCTGCAGTGGCTAAAGCGCGAGCGCGGCACGTGGGACCTGGTCAAGCTCGCGGACTGCCGCCGCGGCCTTGTGGGCGTGCCTCTGCCCAAGACCTACCGGCCGAGGAGCCGCGCAGAGAAGCTTCAGACGGGGAGGTGCGTTTCGAGGGACACGCGGCCGCATCGCAACCGCAACGCGCTGCTGCCCGGGCTGGCCCCGGGCTACTGCTCGCACGCGCTCGGAGTGTCGCGGCGGATGGCGCGGCAGCTCTTGAGCGACGCCTTCCCCGTGACGGACTGCTTCGACAACTTTCTTGCCCTCAGGGTGGCGCCGGCCATCGGCCAATCGTCGATGCGCTACCTCTCGCTCAACCTGAGCTTTTTTGCGCAGGCCGAGAAGGGCGGCCTCACGGCGGGGCAGGTGCCGCCCGCGCTGAGGTCGCAGAACCGAGGGAAGCCGCATCAGCTGAGCCTTGGAGCGTCGTCGGCCGCAGAGAGGCATCGTCGACAGGTGCATTAGCCGCGTAAAAGTCTTTCTGCTGGTATAGTGCCAGTGCGCGCCAGTCCCGTGCCCAGTGTTGTGCGAGGGAGGTTTGTTGTAAAATTCTTTTATGGGTGTACCTGTGTTAGTGCCAGTGCGAGCCAGTCCCGTGCCCAGTGTAAAGAAAGAAAGAAAAGAGACGCCCAAGGGAGGGATGGGAGAACGGCACGCCGCCACCACACAGGGATTTTAAGGAGAGGAGTGTGATCCCAGTGTTGTGCGAGGGAGGTCTGGTAAAATTCTTTTATGGACGTGCCTTTTCCTCGAAAATTCTCCGCAGCAGCGCTGGCGAAGATGCTCTGCCTCACGTGCCTGGGCACCGTGGGTGTCACTGTGTCCGCGCTCGCCCGCTCGTCGGCCGCCCTGCTTCGCGGCGGCAGGCGCAGCCTCGGCGTGAAGGCGCTGGTCACCGAGAATCCGCTGCTTTTGCAGGAGAGCCTTCCGCTCTTCAGCGCCATCGAGGCAGTGCACGTGAAGGACGCGGTGTCGGGCGCGCTCTCGTCGATGGAGAGCGAGTTCGAGTCGCTCGAATCGCGTTTGCAGCAGAGCGGCGATGTCTCGTACTCAGCGGTTATTGAGGAGCTGGAGAAGCTCGAGGCGCCGGTCGAGTACTCGTGGGGCGTGGTGAACCACCTGATGGGCGTGAAGAACAGCGACGAGCTGCGCGCGGCGCACGGCGAGGTGCAGGGCGAGGTCGTCAAGACGACCACCAAGCTGTCTCAGTCAGAGGCGGTCTTCAAGGCGCTCGAGGCGCTCGAGAAGGACGGCTCGCTCGAGCCGGCGCAGCAGCGGATCGTGCAGAGCTCGCTGTCGTCGATGCGCCTCTCGGGCGTCGGCCTGCAGGGCGAGGAGAAGGAGCGCTTCAACGCCAACCGCATCCGGCTCTCCGAGCTTTCCACCGCCTTCTCCAACAACCTGCTCGACGCGACCAAGGCCTTCTCCCTCACCCTCACCGAGCCGGCGCAGGTGGACGGGCTGCCGCCGTCGGCGCTCGCGCTCGCCGCGTCGCGCGCGGCGGAGGAGGGGGAGGAGGGCGCGACGGCGGAGAGCGGGCCGTGGCGGCTCGGGCTCGACATGCCGTCCTACTTGCCTGCGATGAAGTTCCTGCGCGACCGATCGGTGCGCGAGGCGCTGTACCGCGCCTTTGTGACCCGCGCGGGCGAGGTGAACGCGCCGCTCATCCGGCAGATTCTGCAGATCAAGCAGGAGCAGGCGTCCATCCTCGGCTTCGGCAGCTACGCCGAGGTGAGCATCGAGCGCAAGATGGCGCCGTCGGTCGAGGCCGTCTACGACCTCACAGAGATGCTTCTCGCCAAGGCCTATCCCGCCGCGCAAAAGGAGCTGCAGCAGCTGACCGAGTTTGCAACCGCAAACGGCTTCGACGGCGCGGCGCTCGCGCTGTGGGACGTCTCCTTCTGGTCGGAGCGCCTCTCGGAGCACACCTTTGGCTTCGAGCAGGATCGCCCCCTTGCCCCACCACCTCGTGTGTGTGGAGAAGTTTACCTTACCTTACCTCACCTTCGAGCAGGAGGAGCTGCGGCCGTACTTTGCGCTGGACAACGTCCTCGACGGCCTGTTCGGGCTCTGCAGGCGGCTGTACGGCGTCGAGATTGTCCGCTCCGACGGCGAGGCGGAGGTGTGGCACGCGGATGTCGGCTTCTTCAAGGTGCTCGACGAGGCGAGCGGTGAGCACCTCGCCTCCTTCTTCCTCGACCCGTACGCGCGGCCAGAGAACAAGCGCGGCGGCGCGTGGATGGGCGTCTGTGTCGGCAGGTCAAAGGTGCTCGACCGCAAGCCGGTGGCGTACCTGACGTGCAACGGCTCGCCGCCGGTGGACGGCAAGCCGTCGCTCATGACCTTCGACGAAGTCACGACGCTCTTCCACGAGACGGGTCACGGGCTGCAGCACATGCTGACCAAGGTGGCGCACGCGCCGGCGGCCGGCATCTCCGGCGTCGAGTGGGACGCCGTCGAGCTGCCGTCGCAGTTCATGGAGAACTGGTGCTATGATCCGGCGACCGTGTACGATGCGGGCATGGCGAAGCACTATGAAACGGGCGAGCCTCTGCCGCGGGATCTCTTCGGCAAGCTCTGTGAGCAGAGGACGTTCCAGGCGGGCATGGGCATGATCCGCCAGCTCATGTTTGGAGCGCTCGACATGCGCCTCCACCACACGTACGACCCGCGCGGCGAGCAGACGCCGTTCGAGCTCCAGCACGAGCTCGCCGAGCGCTACGCGGTCCTGCCGCCGCTGCCCGACGACCGCTTCCTCTGCTCGTTTGGCCACATCTTCGCGGGCGGGTACAGCGCGGGCTACTACTCGTACAAGTGGGCCGAGGTGCTCTCCGCCGACGCTTTCGCCGCCTTCGAGGAGGCCGGCCTCGACGACGAGCAAGCGGTGCGCGAAGTCGGCCGCCGCTTCCGCGACACGGTGCTCGCGCTCGGCGGAGGCACCGCCCCATCGGACGTCTTCCGCGCCTTCCGCGGCCGCGACCCGAGCCCCGAGCCGCTGTTGCGCCACTCTGGCCTCGCGTGAGTAAGACGTTGGCGAGGAGCAGATCGTGCTGGAGCGAGCGCGGCCGTTGTGTCTCGCCGCGCTCGCTGGTCGTTGGCGCGTCCCCTCTCGTTTTTCGCGGTCAGTCAGGGTTCGAGTATATTTGTTGTGATTTTGGTTATTGATTGACTTCCATATCCTGTACAACGACACACTTACACGGGGGGGGCGGCGCGTCAAACCGTCGCGCCGTGACCCGTGTGGCCGCTGGCCGCTACGCCGGCTCTAAGTGTGTGCTCAGTCCTCAGAACGTGCCCGCTCCGCCAGCAGGTTCCTCCTCCTCGTCGTCCTCCGTCGGCAGCAGAGATCTCTCGGTCGCGCCCTTCAGCAGACCTTGCTGCGAGGCAATTTCACGTGAGCGCTCCAGCTCCATGCGCGTGTCAAATACCGAGCGTCGGCGTGGAGCCGACCCAGCGCCGCGCACCTCTTCCTGAGGGTGTGGAGCCACGAAGCCCTGCAGCACCGACGGTCGAGGCGCGACAGCAGGCGCCTCCTCGTCTTCACGCTGGTTCTGGGCCGTCCCGAGCCCGACCAGAGCGCTAGCCTCCTCCCAGAGGTCGGATGCCGCCTCATCAATTTTCCGGAGGTGGTCGCAGAGGGTGTCTGGCCGGCAGGAGTCAGCAGTGGCGGCAACGGCAGCGGTGGGGCCCCTCGCCGCTTCCCGTCCAACCAGCTCGAAGATAGCTTGCACAGGAGCGCACAGCTCCCGCAGGAGTGCCGCCTGCGCCTCCACGGAAACCTCAGCCGCGCGTGCCTGCTGCGTCTGGCGGTTCGTCCGCTCCTGCGACTGAGAAGCCGCTAGGTCGTGCTTCCGCTGCTGCTGCGCGAGCTCCGCCGCCCGCGTCTCGCACTGGACGATCTCCGTCTCGAGGCTCAGCCTCTGCCGACTCTGCCGCTCGAGGAAGTTGAGAGCTGAAGCGTGGCGGCTCTCTGTCTCCCGAACCACCCGCAAGATCTCGCCCACCGCGTGCCTGCACGGCCCAGCCGCAGGTCCAGCGGGATCGAGTCCGAGCGTCCGCTGCACGCGCTGAAACTCCGCTTCCATGGCGTGGACCTGGTTCTGCAAATGGCCCATCCGCAGGTCCAGCGACTGGCTCACGTGGCGCTTCTGCCGCAGCGCGCGATAGGTCATCTGCTTCCCCAGCTGCTCTGCCGAGTCCTCCGCGTCGTGCGCACTCCGCAGGGCAGCCTCTAGTCCGCGGATGTCGAGCTCGAGCTTGGCGAGCTTATTCTCCTTGTCGGCCGACTCTTGACGGTGTTCGAAGCCGGTTCGCTTGAGCCGCGCCTCCACCTTCTCCTTCTCGTCGAGGGAGCAGTTTGCGAGCGCCACGAGCTGCTTCATGTCTGCCGCCATTGCTCGCTCTCGCTCCGCGAGGCGCGACATCTGACGCAAAAAGTCGGAACGCGCCTTCCGCAACGTATCAATCATGCTTGCCAGCCCACGGTTGAGTCTCTCGGCGTCGGACACGCGCGACATGGCCACCTCCACCACCCGGGAGAGCCGGTTGAGCTCCTTGTTTAGCCGGTGCTCGCGCCGCGCGCTGCTGATGATGCCGTCACTGTCGGCGCAGCTCTCGAGGCTGCGCGCTTGTTGCTCCGAGAGCTGCGTTTCGCGGTGCTCGAGCATCTGGGCCTGCAGCTGCTGCTCGCTGAGAGCGTCGCGATACGAGAAGAGCTGACGCTCGAGATCGGCCGCCTTGCCGCTTGCGGTCGCCGTCGCAGCGAGCGAGGTCTGGGTCTGAGAGAGTGCGGTGCGCTCCGAGGTCGTCGAGCGGGCGGTCGCCAGGAAGGCGGACTCTTCGGACGCCGCAGCCGCGCATGCCTGCCCGGCCCTCGCAGCCCGCGGAGATTCAGAGGTGGTGCGCCGCTGCGCCCGCTTCAGCACCTCCTCCTTCCAGGTCGGCACTGCGCCCCCGCCGTGCAAATCCCCCATGACGCCGTTGAGGTACGTCTTTTGCTTGCGCGGGCTGCGCGGGCTGCGCGGGCTGCGCGGGCTGCGCGGGCTGCGCGGAGTGCGTGGGCTGTGTGATCCCACCCGCTGAACCGAGTCCGGGGTGCCTGCTTGGAAGCGGGAAGTGGCTTCCAAAGGCTGGGTTGCCTTTGCGGGCGGCAGGCTTTGCTGAGGCGCGGCCGCCTTGCGCGGCGAGTCCTTACGATGGGGCGAGCCGGGCTCCACAGAGACGCGCTCTTTGGCGGATCTGAGCTCGTGCAGGGCCTGGAGGATGATCGTCTGGTCGGCCGGCTTCACCTTCCAGTCTGCCAGATCCTCCCTTCCGAGGGAGAGAACGCCCAGCCCATCCACGCCGTGGATGAGGAATGCAGGAGAGTAGTCCTCGCTCGTCCCGAGCGAGTGCGCCCACTCGGCCACGTCGTGCGCGGTCCATTCGAATGACGCGACGGGCTGGGCGGCGCT